GCCGCGTGGGGACCTGGGTACGCAGCGTGGGGACCGGGCTCACCCAGTCCACGATGAGGATCTTGCTGACATTCAGTCTCTGCTGCAGGAGCTTGGCTGCCACGGCCACTGAGTTGAAGTAGCAGAAGCCCCTGCAGGTAGGGCGGGGACAGGGACACAATGGTTAGAGTCCCCAGCCCACCCGGCCCTCCTGAGAGACTCAGTCCTCTCCCCCTAAGAAACAAACGGGTCCTTCTATGTGAGTGGTCTGTGAGGGAGGCCAAGTGGTGGCAAAGCTCAAAGTGGCAGGTGCACGGGCAGTCAAGGACAGCTCCTCTTCACGGGGCTTCAGGGAGGACTGGAGAAGATGGTGTTTCGCTTGGAATTGTGGGTGGGGCCCTGTTAATGAACTTGATGGGCTTTGGTGACCAGGCCCAGGCGCTCAGTTGACTCGGTCCTCAGACACTGTGATGGTGCTCTGTGATGGACACGTATGTGCACACGGGCGGGCACACACACGCGCACACACACTGCATCCTGCAGTAACACATCCATACACGTGTACAGTGCTCCATGCACCCTAGTCTCTTTCCCACACACACACACACACACACACACACACTGCATCCTTCAGTCACACATTCACACACACGTACAGTGCTCCATGTACCCTCCAGTCACTCACAGACAGACACACTCCATGTACCTTCCAGTCACACACACTCATACTTCAGTACCCCCCACACTCACACCCCCCTCGCACTCAGCCCGCCCTCACCCCCCCACATTCACACACTTGCTCTCACAGCCCCCCGCCCTCTCCACACGCACATGCTCCCCCACTCACACTCTGTCTCACACCCCCCCCCACACACACACTCTCCACACCACGGGGTGCACCATGGAGCCGCAGGGCTCTGAAGGTCCAGGGATCTCTCACAGGGCCTGTGCGCACAGTGCCCGTCCCTGTCCTCACTCTCCACATAGGGTGGTCACTGATGTCCCACAAGGACGCTGTCCACAGAGCACAGCAGTGCTTCCTGCCAGGAGCCTAGTGTCCATGTGCCCAAGTACACGCAGAGGTCACACTCTCAGACACAGGGCAAACCCCAACCATGGCTGTGGAGCTAATCCAGACTCCAGTGACCCCACAGGACAGAGAACTGCCCCAAGGGTCCTTGGAGGCTGTCAGAGGCTCCACCTTTCTACTCCGGAGCAGCTGGTGAGTTTAAACCACTACCCTTCAGCAGTCCGGCAAGCGTGTGGCTCGAGCCTGCCACTGACCCGGCAGGGTTCTGGAGTGGTGGATTCTGACACAGCGGCTCGGCAGGACAGGGCAGGGCTGACCCTAGGCTTCCCAAGCCTGCCACCGATACGGGAGATGACTGCTCCTCCGGGGCAGGTGCTGCGTTTGAACCATAGGCCTTCGGTGAGAAACTGAGAGCCGGCCTCCCCAGGGTGGCATAATGAGGGAAACACACAGATTCAGCCGGGTGACAACGCTGCTCTCTACGAAGGGCTCTGCGCTGCATCTCAGAGCACATGGTTCAAATCCACCAGCTGCTCCCTGGGAGAGGGGGGACTCTCCCCTATCCGTTCTAGGGCCTGACAGCCTGCTGGGGAGTCTGGAAGAGCCACTTCCGACTTTACGGTACAACAACGCTGAGTCTCAGCAGCAGATCAGAACACGTCCGTCCTGCCTGGTCCGTATGTCCCTTCCCCTTCCTGCCTGGTTCCCCTCCTGTCCTGCCTGGTCCCCTCTGTCCTGCCTGGTCCGTATGTCCCTTCCCCTTCCTGCCCGGTTCCCCTCCTGTCCTGCCTGGTCCCCTCTGTCCTCCCTGGTCCGTATGTCCCTTCCCCTTCCTGCCTGGTTCCCCTCCTGTCCTGCCTGGTCCCCTCTGTCCTCCCTAGTCCGTATGGCCCCTCCCCTCCCCAGTCTGATCTCTGCTCTGAATTCAGTGGTCTCTGCCATTCTCTGCGGGGTGTGGCCATGCCTACCTGGTGCTGAATCAGAGGTCAAGGGCCACGTGTGCATGCTGTGTCATGGGGACAGTGCTGCGTGTGTGACCACCAAGCCTCTAACAAGGGCTCAAGGCTAGCCTTACACCCCTCCCTCCCACCCTGCGTGCCCAGCACCGTGAACCTGGTGTCCCCTAACTGCCCACACCACCATGGCTCTGAGCCCCCACATCCACTCACATGGGTGTGCTCTCCTCCGCGTGGTGTCCTGGGGGGCGGACCACAGCAAAGCCATTCTGCAGAGGACCCGGGCAGGGGTCGGGGAGAAACACGTGATGAGAGGCAGTCTTTACGCTCAGGTGGGAAACCGTAGGCTGAATACTCAGCAGACAGAGGGGTGTGAGGACCACATACGCCTGCTGGCGGCTGGGCTCCCCCAGCCCCCAAGCTTCCTCAGTTGTTGCCTATAGCGGGGTCAGTGTGTGACATCTTCCGGTCCCCATCACCCCAATCCAGAGCTCTGACACGGGGGGTTCACAGGACAGGACATGACCATGGAGGAACCAAGCATCGCAACCCAGAGCTGGGGCACAGGGGGCCCAAAGTGGACATGTCCATGGAGTGTCCATCACTGCAAAGCAGAGCTGGAGCGCAGGGATACAGAGGTCCAAACAGGAAGTACTACAGGGACTGGCCACTCTCTGACACGGCGTCTCCAGGATCAGGTTAGGACGCCCAGATGGATCCAAGCGCCCTACCGGCTGCCCTCCCAGGAATGTGAGCGCTTTGACAGGACCGGAGGGAATGGGCACCTCAAAGACCCACAATCGCTTGGAAAGGTGATGAAAAGGGTGAAGCTGAATTTCCTTAGTGTCTGTAATGCAGTGTCCACCCAAAGCCCTCAACGCTGCCGGCCAGCTTCCCTGCATCCTGTCATTATCCTCCCTTCTGGCGAGGCACAGCGGAGGAGGGTGTGCTGACGAGGTGGGAGGCTGTGCTCAGGGTGTGACTTAAAGTCAGCTTCTTGGGATTTCAAAGAAACTGGACCAGGGAGATGATCACGGGGCCGCAGAGCCACCGCAAAGCAGAGCCAGGCACGAAGCCCGGTCCCTGTGGGGAGAGCCTCCCAGGCGCAGGGGGACCACACTGCCAAGATGAGGGGACGTCCCCCGGGGGTGCCGCAGGGGACAAGGCCCCGCGAACCGGCAGACAAAGAGCCTTCCCCAGGAGCCAGCACCTGGACTCCGGGCTCTCTGCACTGTGAGAGAGAACATTCCCGTCTGTTAAGGCCAGCCTTTCATATCTTTACAGTAGCACCAGAGAACTGAGAATGTACTTCTGCCAAGACAGCACGGCATGCCAACAGCTGCAGAGCAGATGCCAGCTGCTGCCAGGGGGTACTGCTGCCTGTAAATGAACTAACAGACATTCAAGAAACTTCTCAGCCGCTCTGATAATGAGGCTCACAGAGCCACGAGGCTGTGGCTTCGCAGGGGACTTCCAGGAAGGGCCCGGGGCACCACTTCTCCCTGATGGAGCTGGGCTCCCGTCCACCCCTCCGTGTGTCTGGGGGACAGTCCTGCACTAGGGCCAGGTGTGCGCCACTCACGCACCTTCAGCTCGCCTGTGGCCACCTTGAAGACCAGCTCCACCACACAGCCCACAGCCAGGCGGGCAGCCCCCGAGGAGTGCACTTCATTCCATATAGTGTCGCTGTCCACCTGTGGAGACAGTCGTGGTCATTGCTGTGCACAGAGCCACGCAAATCCCACACTGCAACCTTGCCCCTCACTTCCCAGCTCACTGGGTCACCTCTCCTTTAGAATGGTCTCCACCAAAACACGTGGAGCAGAGCAAGAGACGCTCAGGGTCTCCTCAAGGAAAGACCCAGCGTGGATCGGGGCCCGTCCAACTCCCAGACCGGGGGCCTGTCCAGGTGACGCTCCTCCTCAGAAAAGCAGGGACGCAGCCCCGCGCGGGCCAAGGAGCAGGCTGGAGAAGCGATGGCCTCTCGGTACCGGCTTCGTCCAACGCCAGCATGTCCCTGCGGCCACTGGACCCACACTGCCTGCATGTCGGCTCCTCAATTCTACACAGCTGGGGTGGCTGACTTTGAAAGTGGACATGGGGGCAGAGTTCAGTGTCAGAAGGGGCAGCAGGAAGACACAGGCTGGCTCTGGAAGGGGACATCGAGTTGGTAGCCCACCTTTGGACAGCAGGCAGTGGCCAAGCTCTGGAAGGAGTGGCTGAGGCTGCGCTGGCCTGAGGCCCCACTGGAGTTGCACACCCTTTCTTGGAGCCTGGTCCCACCCTGGTCCTCATGGAGGCGGTCACCACAACAGGTGAGAGGACACAGTGCCTGGCACCTGTGGTCCCTGGACCCGCACCTGTCTGCACAGACGGGGCTTGGAGCAGCTGTCTGGGCAGCGCCGGACCCCCAGGCTGGGGCTTACCCTGCAGCGCATCACGGCATCACGTCAGCACGAGTGTTTTTCTTTCCCTCACAAGCTACAAATTCTCGAAGGACATGCTCACTGCAGGGCAGTGAATACCCAAGCTCTTTTAAGTGTGGCCAAAAATACGCTGTGAAGGAAGCACTTGGGGCCTCGTGCGACAGAGCAGAATGAGGGGAAGTGCCTGGCGGAGAGAGGCCGGTCCCCCTCTGATGGGATAATCGTCAAAGTGGCGATTCGTGTGGACTCAGGAAGAAAACACTTCTGCTTCATGAACAGACTTCAGAGCCCGAGCTGAGTCCCGCCTGCTGTCAGGCCCCAGCGACCCGCACAGCTTCAAGCAGTGCCTCGCTGTTCCCTCCGTCCATCCCTGCCGCCCATGGCCTCTGTCCAGCATCTCCGGCTCGCAGGCGAGAGGCTGGCCCAGTACGCTGGGCCTCTCTCCGGGCAGTCATGCTGTTCTTGGCCCTGCCACCCACTTCTGTGAAGAGGGACCCTTTCTCGGACCACATGTGCTCCGATCACAGGCCAACAGTGGCCTGTGGGTGCCGAACCATGAAGGTTCACTGTCCATTCTGACTGTTAGGTGACACCCGTGCTCACAGGTCAGCTCAGAGCTGTCTGCACCTCGACCCCTGCTTCTGAAGGACAAGCCCCGAGGGGCAGCGAGCAGGCCACTTCTCCCACCTGGGGAAGTGACGGTGGGGGTCGCTGTGGGGGACGCTGCCTGGGCAGGTGCTCTAGGCCCAATCCCATGTCGGCCACATGGGGGTGCACGTGTGGAGCTGGGCCCCCCAACCTGCGGATGGAAAGCACCTAGATACAGTTAGTCACTGTGTTGAGTGACCAGTGAGATCACACAGGGCACCATCTGCGTGGTGGACACTCACCCCAACACCGCCACACGGGAGCCGCACGAAGACTGACGTGAGAGAGCCTGTGGGGACAAAGGGCGCTCAGGCCAACCGCCAGCCCAGCCCGCCAGAGGACAGGGCACCTGAGCTGGGGGCCAGGATTCCGGGGCTGAACTCAGGTGCAGCCCGGCATCCTCTCAGCCCGGAAGGGCACCAAGCCCAGAGGGGCCCACTGCCTACCCAGCTGGCTAGTGCTGCCAGGAGCAAGGCCCAGCTACCACGGACCCCAGGAGACTTAGACGTGTGCACCCAGGTGCCAGCCTGTCCCTGGAGCTGGCCCTGCCTCCTGGCCCCACCCTCCAGATGCTGTCCCTCCCCCAGCACCCAGCTCTGCCCACCTGCGAAGTGGCTGGGGCAGAAGGTGGGGGGAGTCCTAAAACCTCTCAAACTGTGGGGATCCCCTCAGTCCCCTCTGGCTACCCCCAAAGCCTTAAATCTCCACACAGAGCCCAGGAGAGGGGATGGAAATCCTCCAGGGAATCCTGCATCCCAGTGAAGAGGACACTCTGGCTCCCACACAGGCCGTCTGCGAACAGGGTGTCTGAGACAGGTGGCTGGTGTGGTGCTGAGGTCCCTCGCTGCCTCACCTCACAGGGCGTGCGGACATGCGCACTGGCCCCTGCCCACCTGGGCCTGTGGTGCTCACAGCTGTGGGCCATGGGGCGTCCAGGGTGGGCCAGGCATCTCACCACCGCCCCTGAGGCTCTTGAGTGTCCCCAGCACGGCACCGGCGACTCCAAACCCACTAGCGGGAGAGGGGAGAGAAGCTCTGGAAATACCTAGAAGTTTCTTACTGTCCAGTTTCTGCCGGTTGAGGGGGTTGGTGCCGTAGAGCAACGCGTGGGCCTCCGAGTGGACTGTCTGCAGCTCCTCCAGTGTGGCCTTGCGTCCGCGAATGCACTGGGGACAGAAGGGACACTAGGTGCTGGCCTGCAGCATTCGCTGGCAGGATGGTTATTAGAGCTGTGGCCCATGGACATTGGCCTGACAGGTCAGCTCTGAAGGGGCAGGGCCGGCGGGGGCCTCCACCAGCATCCAGAGTGTTTACACTGAGCGGTTTGGGAAAGTGACCTCTGCCTGCCCCGTCCTGTCACAGGACCTGCATGTGTCACGCTGTCCCAGGGCTGGTGTGGGCTGCTGCCCGGCATACTGGGCGCCCATGACGTGAGGAAGCGTGAGCGGCAGGGCAGGTGGATGGGGGCACTGTGGACTTCAGGTGGTGCAAGGGCAAGGCCCCGTGGCCATGCAGACTCCCCTGACCACCAATCTGCAGAGGAAACACTGCCTTAAGACTGAAGGAAGGTGTCCTTGGAGGTACGAGTTGGTGAGCTGATGCCCCAAGGAGAGTGTCAGACCCCACCCAGAGAAAGCTGTGATGGGGACCCAAGGTCCCTTCCTGCCCTCTGCCGGTCAGCCCATGCTGGGCTGGGTCTCCTCAAGTTCCTGAGGGACGTGCGTAGCTCTCAGGTCCTGGCAGGAGACCATCCCTGCAGGGGCTGTGGCTTCTGACTGGGCCCCACCATGGATGCTTCCTGAGCATATATGCCTGGCCTTCAGGTAACCCTGAGGCCATCAGCTGTCCTGCTTGGCTGGGCCCAGGGCACAGGGTGAACCTGCTGCAGGAACGTTCCCGAGCCCAGATCTGAGCGTCATATCATAAGGCACCCCTGGTAACACCTGGCATCTAACACCCACAGCTCAGGGCCTTCTGGTGTGCAGACAGTGTGGCGACAGGGAAGGACCCTCAGGAAAGGACAATTCCCCCAGGCCCTGCGGGCTCCTGGGTGCGAGCAGGTGGGGGGAAGGGGAGGAGGAGGAAGGGGAGGAGGAGGAGGAGGAGGAGGAGGAAGGGGAGGAGGAGCAGGGGGAGCAGGGACAACACAGCTTCCCCTGGCTTGGGCTCTGCTGCCCCCCAGTGGTGCTGAATGGAGCATCTGGCAGCTTCTAGAAGCTTCCCTGTGCCACTGGGCCGTGGTGTGGCGAGCGCTCGAGTCTGGACCAGGCTGTATCTCTCCAGAGCCCTCATCACCACATCTGGCGGTGCGTCTGATGGCCGAGCAGGGGCCCACACGGCAGGGGCCCTGATGACCAGCACGGATGCACGCTCCACCTGCCCTTCCACAGCCCATGTCCGACGCCAGGCCAGGCCACTCTCAAGTGGGCATCGTGGCTCTGAGGACTGGTAAGGGAGAGTGAGGCCAGCCAGGCCCGGAAGCGGTCCTGGACCCTCCTTCCCGGGACCCGCTCCTGAATTCAGTCGGTGAGTCACGGACACACTCTCGGTTCTCACCACCGAGCCTGCCCTCTGAGGACTGCCCAGTGTGGATTAAGCCAGCGTCAAACCCAGACAATGTGCATAGGTCTGCCCAACCAGGGCCTGCAGGTCAGGCCTCAGTCTACACCTTCTGAGAAGGGCCTGTCTGTGCCCTTGGAGAAGACTCCTACCCACACTCTCAGAGACCCTGTCCACACCCTCGGAGAAGTCCTCCGAGACGCTGAGGAAAGAGCCCACAGAGAGAAGTCAGCCGACCTGAGGGTTGTGGGTCCGTGAGTGGCCTGTTCTCGGACAAGGCAAGGGAGGGGTGGGGAAGCCAGGGCAGCAGGGGTGCAGTGCGGTGGCCGGCAGACCTGGCCTTTGTTGAACTGATCACCGCTATCAACTCTACCCTTGCTCCTGGGGAGCCCATGCCTGGCAGTGAGACTGTTCCCCCACAATGTGACCAGCAGTCAGTCTACACCTCTTGGTGTGACCGCCCCAGCCCACCTGTGGCCATGTTTCTGTGTCCCTTTGGTGTGACCAGCAGTCAGTCTGCACCCCTCCGTGTGACCACTCCAGCCCACCTGTAGCCATTACTGACCAGTCTGGACGCCTCGGTGTGCACCCCAGCCCACCTGTGGCCATGTTTCAGTGCCCCTGTGGTGTGACTAGTGGTCAGTCTGCACCCCTCGGCGTGACCGCCCCAGCCCACCTGGCCGTCTTACCTCACACTTGCCCCGGAGGCCCGTCTCCTGCAGGCGGGACCAGATGCTCTGGATGCGGCCGGCGTGCTCAGGGTGGCTGTTGGTGTTCCCGCAGGTGCACTGGTGCTTCAGCATCAGCGTGTCATACACGAGGCCTGCAGGCACAGGGGACAGTGGGGTCTACTCGAGCCGCTGTCCTGTGTCTCCCCCATGCCAGAAAAGGGCAGTGCGCTACCTGTGGTGAAGCGTGGCTTGGTGGGGGGCTCCTGCACAGACATGGGGAAGGTGGCAGAGGCTGGGGAGGACTGTGCCCGCGACAGGGGCCGGTGGCTGCCGAAGGACACGGGGATGCCAGCTGCCTCCATGGACGCCTGGTAGTTCCTCAGCTGGTGGATCCGCTGCTGCTCTAGGAGGAGGGCTTGCTGGGGTGCGGCAGAGACGGGACTTCACTTGCTTCTGCGTCAACTCATGACTCAAACTTTGAGTCACATGTCATCATTTTCTTACAAACTTTGTGCCCGCCCACCTGTCCGTCTGTCTGCCCATCCATCCATCATCCATCCAGCATTTATCCATCATCCATCCATCCATCCA